AACATCAACAACATCGGATTTCCACGCGGATTAAAAGGTTTTGATAGCACCGATCTGGTGATAAGGGAATATACTTCAACGAGTGATACTTGAACAACACACACACACTTCAACGAATGATTTATATCTTTTTCCTCTCTTAAGAGTATTTAAATGTAAACTCACTGATCGACGTCGTACGAAAGGGAGTCTTCGCCAACAAGGGAACTACTGGTTGCAATCACGTTGGGGCTATATATTTTCTGATACATCGATTCGCTCTGACATGTGTCCACGATCACCAACATTTCATTATACCTGAATTCAACTTCCAATCTTTGGGCTAATTTTCGAGCGCCAATAACTTCTCTGAGGAATCTTTTTTGGTAGGATATTTTAATCGAGTTTTGAGATCTGTGAAAACACTTGAAAATCTTTTCCTCATATAAATGCAATGTAATGTGACGAACCGATTTCCCTGGTACATCGTCTCGATGGCATCCGCCAAATCAACATTTGTCAATTCTTCGGAATCCTGGAATTTCAGAAAACTGTCGCCACCATGCCCGGTAAGATAAATGAGAATATTACTCTGGTGATCTGAGAGAAGACGTTTGGAGCGTGGCGTGGCTGTATGAACTCTCCCAGTCATGACGCGCATAAAATTTTCAACTGATACCTGCAATTTTCAATTATATCTTTGCAATTATGAAAAAAATGCCTCAGGAAATTGCCCTTTCATGTGCGCAAAAATTGCTTTGCTCATTTTCATCGAGAGAGAATCCTGTGGAGGAGAAATAGCACGGCACCTCATAGCCACGATAATCCACTTCCACTTCTGTGCCATACAGATTAATTCGTTCGTACTTACTGTTGTAAACTGTGCCTAAAAATCAAATTACTGACAGTTTTCGGATCAATACTAACCTGACCAACAATTGGTAGTGCAGCAGAAATTTTGCGACCACATAAAAAATGAAAATATAAGCTAAACTGCGTGGGATGAGACAACATGAAAGAAGTTAAAAATAGACTTTGGTAATAAGCAAAACATTTGACCTGGACTACGGCGGCATATTGGTAACCGGAAAGCGAGTTTTGGCTACTGTGAATCTCAGGTGACCAAAGGATGCCGCCACAAAAAAGTATGAATCGTTTGATATGTAACAACGACTGTAAGTCACTACCGAAGGAGGGACTCATGAATCATCTTCTCTAGGAAATCGGTAAAACATCATGCGAAGTCCTCAATTTGTGTGTGTGTGTGTATATTTGAAAAAAAAAAAAAAAAAAA